CACTGCTCCAGGACTCACAGTCCTCACTGCTCCGGGATTCAATGCCCTCACTGCTCTGCGTCTCGCTGTCCTCACTGCTCCCAGACCCACAACCCATGCTGCTCCAGGACTCACTGTCCTCACTGCTCCAGGACTCACTGTCCTCACTGCTCCAGGATGCGCTGTCCTCACTGCTCTGGGACTCACTGTCCTCACTGCTCCGGGACTCACTGTCCTCACTGCTCTGGGACTCACTTTCCTCACTTTTCCGGGTCTCACTGCCCTCACTGCTCCGGGACTCACTGTCCTCACTGCTTCAGGATTCACTTTCCTCACTGCTCTGGGACTCACTGCCCTCACTGCTCAAGGACTCACTGCCCTCACTGCTCCAGAACTTGCTGTTCTCACTGCTCCCAGACTCACAGCCCATTCTGCTCCAGGTCTCACTGCCCATGCACTGCTCCAGGACTCGCAGCCCATCCACTGCTCTGGGACTCGCAGCCCATGCTGCTCCAGAACTCACAGCCCTCACAGCTCCGGGACTCACAGCCCATGCTGCTCCAGGATTCACTGTCCTCACTGCTCCATGGCTTGCAGCCCATGCTGCTCTGGGACTCGCTGTCCGCAGGCTGTTCCCGGATTCATTGCACTCACTGCTGCGGGACCTGCAGGCCTCACTGCTTCAGGACTTGCAGACCATACTGCTCTGGAACCTGATCTCAGTGCTGCTCTGAGACTCACTGCCCACACTGCTCCGGGATTTGCTGCCCACGCTGCTCCAGGACTCTCTGCTTGTGCTGCTCCATGACTCGGTCCCCACATCTGGTGCTGCTCCAGGATTCCCTTCTGTGATTAACGGGAGAGGTAAAGAAAATAAAAGAAGGTAAAAGAACAAGCAGAGCAGAGGATTTCCAGCATGAGTGTCCTACTCTGCCGCCATCTTGTTGTATATCAGTTTTCAATTCCAATGATATGGGGGTGAAGTTCTTGCAGCTTTTGTTTTAATAGTGGGTATCACCTAACTCCCCATCTTATGGGTATGAATCTAGTCCTTCAATTCCCAATGGGAAGATTGGTATATTGTCCTGAAAAATTCGGTAAACAGGTTTCACTAACCACCTTGGTCGCTCTTACAGATTACTCGACCCCTCCCTAATCATACACATTGTTCATAGGAACAAAAACAAAGATGCTGGAAAAGCCCAGCAGGTCTGGCAACATCTGTGAAGGAAAAAACAGAGTTAACGTTTCGAGTCCGGTGACCCTTCCTCAGAACCGGACTCGACACGTTAACTGTTTTTTCCTTCACAGATGCTGCCAGACCTGCTGAGCTTTTCCAGCAACTTTGTTTGTTTTCCTGATTTACAGCATCCGCAGTTCATATGTTTTTTACAGTGTTCATAGGTCTAGGATCTCAGCACCAAATTGTAGTCACATCAATTATACAAAGCCCTGGACTAGATCTAAAGAGACACAGTTTTAAAAATAAGGGACCTCATATTAACATGGCAATGAGGAGAGATTCTATTTTGCACAGACTTGTGAAACTGTAAAAGTTGCTTGCCCAGAGATCAATGGGGGCAGAGATCATTAGATATTTTTAAGATAGTGACAGACAGAAATTTGGTAAACAAGGAAGTCAAAGCCAATAGGGTGTATACAGGAAAATGGAGTTGAGGTCACAATCAGATGAGCTACGATCTTATCGAATGGCGAGCAGGCTTGAGGGATTGAATGGTCCACTCCTGCTCCTAATAAATATGTTCATACCAAGGAAGGCTGCAAAAAGAAATGGTTCCAAGAAGAAAGGGTCATGTCAACAAATTGTTTCAGTTAACAAGTTTTTTCAGTTGTTTTTCTTTCACATTTGAATGTTATTGTTGAGTTTCTTCTTTTTTGTGCTCAGAACATGGTCCTCTTATATTGAAGGCTTTCTAGTTGCCAGACGTTTTTGAAAATGCATCTTCTTTTTAACATGGAAAATTGAGATTGTACCTGCACTTGTTGCTTGATGATTCCCTCATGTCATTAAAAAATTATCTGTGAATTTCAACATTGGATCATTGCTTCTTTCATTGTGGCAGATAATCCAACTACTCCAGCTAATTCATGGTTAAGTTCCTCTGATAGCAGGAGCATCCTGCAACAGGGAATCTATGTAAGGAAGTCTTTTGAAAATTATTTTTGTTCAATTTAATGTTTCTCTTTAATTTGTATTTGGGAGTTACGTTGAGAGTTTAAGTGTTGCATTAAATTAAACAGAGATTGTGGAACCATCTTTATACATTGGATTGTGTTGTCGTTGTAGTAGCACCACAGCAGCACTCTTCCTACGGAACTTAAAGAGAGATTTTTGTGAACATTCTCAGATTAAGGTTCAGAATCCATAAAAAAAAGTAGTGTTGGTATAAGTTATCCAATTGGTTGACAGATCCTAATCATAAACTTTAAAAGTAAAACATGTCCTGTTACCCTCGAGGACAATTGGATCCTGGCCAAAGTAATACATCAGGGTACGAGCTTGTCTCTGTTTTTGTTCAGGAGAGTGTAGTATGAGCAGGTAAAACAAATAATAAGGTTTGGCTGGAAAATTCTAATCTCAGTGTTTTTGATATCTCTATTTATGGACTTGGCAGCCATGCATAGTGTGTGATAATCAGCAATTTAACTGATGGTGGTGATTACATCCCCTATACAGTCTTCTTCAAATATGCATGACCATCCATTCATGGAGAAAACAGCAAGACTGAAGCTACCTATTTATTCAGGTTGTTGGTTACTATACTTGCATAATCATAAATTTAAAAATGAATTGGCCTTCTGAATGTAGTTAAATTGGATAAAAATAGCAGTTCAGGCTGATTAGATCAGACTGGAATTTTGCTCAGTGCATTCTTTCACATCCAGTGTTGTACCATACTTCTGTTCCCTCCTAGAAGTTACCTTTATCTTTGCCAAGCCATCTAGAATCCCCAAAGTTCTTTTTCCCAATTCCTAGCAACCTTCCCAAAAAAACAATACATGTTGATAGGCTTGCTAAGATCATTACTTTTATCAAACATCTCTTGGCTTTCTTCATGATTTTTGAATCATTTTCATATTCCAAGAAGCATCTTTGAAAATGTGGCATGGTGGCTCAGTGGTTAGCACTGCTGCCTCACAGCACTAGGGACCCGGGTTCAATTCCACCCTCAGTTGCCTGTCTGTGTGGAGTTTGCACATTCTCCCTGGGTCTGCATGGGTTTCCTCCGGGTGCTCCGGTTTCCTCCCACAGTCCAAAGATCTGCAGGCTAGGTGGATTGGCCATGTTAAATTGCCCATTGTGTTCAGGGGTGTGTAGATTATGTGGGTTATAGGGGTATGGGTCTGGGTGGGATGCTCCAAGGGTCAGTGTGGACTTGTAGGGCCAAAGGGCCTGTTTCCACACTGTAGGGATTCTATGATGAGATAAGGCTGCAGGCTGTAAAGGTCTACAAGGAGATAATCTTTCCCATTGACAGGAGGAAGAAGTCTGCTGCTAAAAACAAGCAGGCACGGCTGGAGGTGGCTCAGGAAGTCAGCAAGGGAGAAAGTTTCAATGCACTTTTTAAAGCATAAACAATGAGTGGCATGCTAGTCCCTCAATCTGTGCTCTGAAACTATTTCTACATTGTTTTCTGAGACCAAAACATCTTGGAGGAGTCCCCATCCTTCTCAATTTCCTGACATCCACATGTGACCATTGTCTCACTCCCGCCTTATTGGTGCATGATATCCATCCATCACAATGACCTTCTACAAATGCTAACCTTCCATTCTCTCAAATATTCCACTTCTCAGACATGGGTGTCTTCTTTCTCCACCTGAAGGAGAACAGAGCACAGAGCCATGAAAAGAAACAGAGAACCAGAGGCATGTCTCAAATAACGTCCACCTTGCCAGCTGCACTGACCCACTGAAAAGAAGCTGAGATCTCTATGGACCCGATCATTGGAGATGGAGAGATAGGGAAGGTGGGGAGCACACAGCCTCCCAGTTACATGGTGATAGAGTTTAATAAAGCACGGTCACAAAGAAAACAATCTTCAGTCATGGTGATTTGTTGCCAGCAGGTAATATATTCTTACCTTGTCAATTCCAATTCATGTCTTTTTCTACCTCCAACAGGTTCTCAAAACATCCTTCAGGAGACAGTAAGATAGAAGGATGAAGACTCCTCAGAGGAAGTTACTCACTTTGAGGATACACACTCTCACGACTCATGCGCATCCTCCACCAGCTCAGACACACTCAGCTCAGAAAGGCCAGCAAGACATGTGGTTCAGTTGCCACATGGTGAAGCAAGGGCCAAATGGTGAATACAGGGATAACATTAGAAAGTTCCTGTTGCAATGCAAAAGACCTTCAAAGCCCTGCTCAGCTAAATGTACATGCTATACCTTTTGAGTTGTCAGCAAACAGAATAATTCTGGAGCCCCAGCAAAAAAGGTGTGAGCTTCTGTCAGCATTTCTAGAGACACTGCACAATTGGAGAGTGGTTCAGGGAAATTGTTTCCTGTGTGAGTGCCACAATATCTCAGGTTTTCATACTGATCTACATCCTTGGTTAAAGTGGCTATTGCCATGAAGGATCAATTGCAGCAACTAACAAAGCACAAGTCATCTCCCACCAATGGCCTACACCATACTGAGGAAATCTTGTCTTGGCCTCAAGAAACGTCTCAAAGTGTTCTCCAGAAAATGCAGTTGTGTCATAGGGGAGAGGATGGGAGAAAGTGGGGACTCTTTAAAAGTATTCAATTTCTGATCCATTTACCACATACCCAACACCCCATTCAGGGTGCCACATGCAGCCTTCTGTCCCAATGGCCAAGTCTGCTCCTGTACAACTGCATGTGGGATAGTCACTAATAGTCATTCCCTCTGTCCTGTGAAGTGACTGATGGCTGAGGGCAGGGTTGTTGATCCTGCTGGCACTGTTGGGACACGTGCTGATACTAGTGGTACTGAATCTGGTGCTGTTGGTGCTCCTGCTAATGCCCCTAATGCTCCTGCTGGTGCTTTTGTTGGTACTCCTGGTGCTCCTGTTGGTCCTCTGGGTGGTGCCCTATTGGTATTCCTGTTGCTTCTGATGCTCCTGCAGGTAGTCCTGTAGGTATTCCTGGTGCTCCCGCTTGTGCTCTTGCTACTTCTCCTGCTGGTAATCCAGTCGCTATTGCTGGTGTTCTTTCTACTGCTTCTGCTGGAACTCCTGTTGGTACTCCTGTAAGTACCACTGGTGCTCCTGCTAACACTCTTAATGTTTCTGCTGGTGCTTGTACTGCTACTTCTATATGTACTATTGACTGCCTTGCTGCTGCTCCTATTGCTGCTCCTGCTCTTTTTTTTCAAAAAATATACTTTATTCACAAAAGTGTCTTTATATATGCATTGTCACAAATGCAGTTCAGTTCTGTATATCAGTGTATCAAGGAAACAAACAAATATTGGAGTTTGATTCTATCTAAACAAGCCAATGGCATCTCTTTCTTGAACCAGGCTATATTTACATGCATCTGAGGCACAAGGAGGGTCCAATAGCTGAACAGACCCCCATTTAACTTCAGCAGGAAGACCTCAAATGGTGGTCTTTCCCCACTGCATCTTGGTGGTAGCTGCCCCAAGCTTTAGCGAATCCCTCAGCACGTAGTTCTGGACCTTGAAATGTAACAATCTACAACAGTTGGCTGAGGTCAACTCTTTGTTCTGGAATACCAACAAGTTTCAAGCAAACCAAAGAACCTTTTCACCAAGTTGATGGTATTCCAGGCACAATTGATGTTTGTCTCCATGAATGTCCCAGGGAACGGACCGTAGAGCACAGAGTCCTGTGTCACAGAGCTGCTCAGGATAAACCTCGACAAAAACCATTGCATCTTTCTCTTTTGCAAAGACACATTCCAGAAGGAGACGTGTGACAGTCTCAACACCCCCGCAGCCACTTTAAGGGTAACATGCGGTGGCACACACCGATCAGGCATACAAAAACAATCTCATAGGTAGTGCCCTTCTCACTGCTAGTCATGTGATGTCTTTGCGCTTGGTGGAAAGTTCTGGTGATGAGGCATTCGGCCAAATGACATCTTCTCAGGGAACCACATGACAGAATGAACCCTCTCCTTTTTCTGAAGGGTCTAGTGCTGGTGCTCCTACTGGTCTTCCTGCTTCTGCTCCTGCTCGTAGCTCTCCTTTGCTTCTGCTGGTTCTCCTGCGCATACACCGACTGCTACTCCTTCTGGTACAACTGGTGCCCAGGCTGGTGTCCCTGCTGATGCTCCTGGTTGTGAGAATATATCTGCTGTACTCCTAATCAAGTACAATGAAGTTTTTATATTAATTAGATTAGGAACATGTAAATACTGATACATCCACAAATCACCTTAAACCTTCCTCCTGTCTTACAAAGACCAGTCTGAATTACAATCTCAAGATTACAAAATAGGTCAGATCAGTAAACGTTATATGTCTTTCCAATTAGCTGCACGGTGCCTAGTGACTGGCTTGGTAATATACAGTGGGAGACATAACATCATTTCTGTTCTATGCCTTTGATGGAGAACTACAGCAGACCAGAAATAATAAACTGTACAGCAAACACGACTTATTTGAGGGAAGGAGATGAGGCTCATTCTTAGTCAGAAGTTCCAATTATGTTACGTAGTTTCTTGGAGAATACCACAGTTTTAATTTCCACTATGCTGCCCAAATATTCTTCAATGGATCATTCACTGAAGGACTTTCTAACATCAATTCTAAGTTTCCCTTTGTCTAGTGTTGAACAGATTTAACTGTCCTGGTCAGAAGGGATTTACTAAATCTATCCTTTGTGCATAATCATCTTATATACCCCCACTACCAATTGAGATTTTTTTTAAATTGAGGGTTTGTTTTTCAACGTCAGTGAGGTTATGAACATTTCACACAAAAATCATCTTTGATTCACTAACATTGGAATTTTGAAATACAAAGCTTGCCAGAATAGAATGTACATTATATAAAAGGTTATTTGATCCAACTGTTCCATGCTAGTGGTAATGTTCCTCATCATCCACTCTGAACACTCTTCGGCTTGACCTATTCCTAGTCTATTCCTCTCTCTAATGTTGTCTTTCTAATTTCAGCTTAAATACATCAACGCTATTGATTCAGCTGTTCCTTGTGGGACGAAGTTCCACCTTCCAATGCTTTCTGGGGAATAAAGATTTTCTTGAATTCCCCATTGGGCTGATTAGTGACTGTTCTATATATATATGGCAGTGAGTGCTGTTTGTAAAGCCAAGATGGAATAGGGAAGGAATTGATTAGATGTTCATTCTCTCAATTATTTGCTGTGCACAGATGTAAGGCCAGAGGCATTTAAATGAGCTATTGATTGCAAACAGTCTTTGCCTGCTAATGGCGGCTGTTCTTTAAGAAGTTACATATAACAAGCTGCATTTAATACAATCAAAGGAGACAAATACAACAAACTAAATGCTATTTTCCTCATAAAGAACATTAAAGAGCTCACTTGACTGTTGACTTTTGTGACTATTTTCTTCAATAATTGGTTGCAGCTCTAAATGCAGTCACCTGCTTTATTTGGCAATTTCTGTTTTTTTTTACAGTGTTGCAAAAGTTTGGAAACAACACAGGGAATGGGTCACAGTGATGTATTTAACATTTTCTTTAAAAGAGACTAAGAGAAACATTCAAAATTATAATGGGTTCCAAAATGATGAATGCATAAAAACTCAGCTTATCAAATCTCAAAATTCAAACTGTTACAGAGACAACATAAGCAATTGAAAATAATTTCCAGAGATAGTAGGAACTGCAGACGCTGGAGAATCCGAGACAACAAGGTGCACGGCTGGATGAACACAGCAGGCCAAGCAGCATCATAGGAGCAGAGAGGCTGACATTTCGGGCTTAGACCCTTCATCAGAAAAAGGGGAGGGGAAGGGGGTTCTGAAATAAATAGGGAGAGAGTAGGAGGCGGATAGAAGATGGATAGAGGAGAGGATAGGTGGAGAGGAAACAAACAGGTCGAAGAGGCGGCGATGGAGCCAGTAAAGGTCAGTGTAGGTGGGGAGTTAGGGAGGGGATAGGTCAGTCCAGGGAGGACGGACAGGTCAAGGGGGCGGGATGAGGTTAGT